GAGGGGAAGGGAAGGGAACAGCCGGCTCTGCTCCTCCTCCTTCCCCTCTCCTCCCCCTGCCCGCAGAGCTGGGGTGAGGGTCCCTCCTCCCCCTCGGCCCCTTGCTGCCGCGGGATGTCACCCAGTGCGGGCCAGAATGGCGGTTGGACCTTCGTGAGCCGTGAGGGCGGCACCTGCCCTCCTTCCCAGCCCAGGGCTTTTACACCCCCGCGGTGTGAGCAGCAGGGTCGTGGGATGGGGCTGTGGGATACACGGGAGCGCCTCAGCTCTGGCGCTCCCAGGCATGAGCAGACGAGGCCTAAAATGTCATTCCCCTGCTGTGAAGAGGCAGTTCCTGTAAGAGTTTTATTACCGCAGGCCTAAGCGTTTATGGTTTTGTAGAGCTCTGGTTCAGACACGTAGCTCTCACCTGAGAGTTCATATTTTGGGAGAGGCTGGGTGGGCCTGGAAGCAGAGGCAAAATGCCTCCAAAGTTTCCTGTGCTCCAGTAGGAAGGGTGCTGGGACCTCATCCCACTCCTTCGTCCTGGTCACTTCGACTAGTTCATGGGACAGTTAGTTCTCCTTGGACAAAAAGTTGGGGTAAATGCATGGATCACTGCTTTAAGCACTGAGTGGTGAACTCATAATTTTAAGATGGCTTTAAATTTGTGTTTGCTGTACTTCGTTGTGTGCATGCTGTTGCCTCTACAACACTATTTTTTTTAAAATACAATTTTAAAAATTATATTTTACAAAGTTGTTTATTTATTGTTACTACAGTCTGAGACTTCTCTCCTTTCTTCCCCCCACCAGGAGAGTGTTTCTGTGTATTTAACAGCAAGTTGTGTAATCTTAAGACATTTACTCTGAAATTCATTGCCACATTCGTGTGCTCTCCCCCTAGCAAGGAAATTCGTAGTGAATTTTGTGGAGTCTTTAGATCTTATTACGTACTTGGAATAAAAATTGCATCTGTGGCTTGCTTTGTTGGTGCAAGTTGTTCTGTCAGGCTGTTGCTAAACTCCAGAAACTGGTAGGTAGGCTGCAGTAGACTTATTCTGGATTACTGCAGTTTTCTGTTGAAATTTATTCTTTAGCCAGGCCTTTCAGTGGAGAGTACAATATTTTTCAGGCATGTATATGTTGTAAACTGTTAGCATATGGTTGGCAGTAGAAGCTATTTCAGTGTTTTTCTGGACGGTGTTATATAGTGGAAAAAGGGACAGTGCCCATGCTTACTGGATTCCTGGCTAAGGAAATCGGAAAGTCAAGTTGCATATAACCAAATTCTAAAATTTTGCCATAGAGAAATAGCAAGATCATCTGTAGTGCTGTGCACTATTTTCTTCTGATGTACAGGGTTAATGAGGCCTTCTTGCCATGGTAGAAGGAAAAAGTAGTAGGAGAAGCAAAGTATAACAGCAGCATTCATCTCCCAGGGCTGAAAGAGCTCTGTTCTCAAAGGTATTAGCAAGAGGCCTTTGCTAATACATACTCAAGAAGGTTGATTTGAATGCCTTACGTTAATACTTCTAGTAGAGAATCTGTTGTTCAGGTACCATTTCTTATGAAAAACTATCAGAAACTTTAGGCACAGTTTTATATAGACTTGCTGTAAAATAAATGGCACAAATTGAAGTAAGGATTGAGTGAGTATGGAGAAGAGCATCTAGCTGAAATGACTTTTAATTCACTATTGGAAAATAAATTAAATTTCATAGGAAGGTAAGACTGGAAGGAAAACATTAGATTATGAAATCAAATCTGTTGCAGATAATTTTAATATAATCCCACTTAAAAATGTGTCTGGCTCCATGTAGAGTTAATTAGGTGGTTTGCTTTGAAACAGTCTTCCAGTAAGTTGTAGTATCTACTCTTCTGAGGAACAGAAGTCTTATTCTGTCTTCCATATCAAACAGTCATTTATTTCAGGTCAAGAATTTTTATTTAAAGGAACGAGTTTCAGAAATATTTTTGTATATTTGGTTAATATGCTTGTGTGTCCTACTTAGCGGCATAGAAACCAAACCAGACGTTCCTAAAACAAAATTTTTAGTTAAGCAAGTAATTTACACTTGTGTACTTATTTCAGTGTTAAGTATATACTTCCTACTTTACTGATCCATGGTTGAGCACCAACTAATATCAAAATCCTACCCAATCCCTCAGAACAAAGTGCTGTTTTATCTTTGCATTTTATTCCATTACACTGTAGCTTTCTGAGGCAAAAGACAGTAGAGCTCTTGCTGGCTGTCTGAAAGCTGGTTGTGAGAAGAGCAAAATATTTCCTGTTTGACCAAGAAAGGTGTTTGCAGTGGTTGTGTTACAACCACCAATGCATAACGTACAAATCCTATGCAAGCAGGTATGTCTTAACATTTGCAAAGATGGTTCTTGTAGCCTTTGGTCAGATGCAGTAGTGTTGCACTGAAATTTCAAAATTATGCATTTGAAATTCTATTTATAAGTTTAGCTTTTAAATGTTTTTCTGCTTTAAAGAAGGAGAAGCTGCAGTGCTAGGAATTGCACATGATTATTTTTTTTTTTTGAATTTTTTACCATGGTTAAGTTAATGGAGACTGTGGATTAGAAATTTACAGGAGGAATAGTCCATTTTTCCCTCTTTTTTCTGCTAAAAAATTAAGGCTACTGGAAAATTACGTATTAAAGGATTAGGCCACAGATCTCTGTATGCTTACAGTATATGATGTATACCGCTAAATGTACTGTATCTTAATTAGTGTGCTTTATCCTCTTGCTTGCCAAACACTTTGGTAAGTCTAGTCTTGTCTTTCTAATGCTTGTGTTTTCTTATAATTCTTTTTTAAATTTTTATTCTTCTTAAAATAATTAAAAACCAATCAGGTTTTGCAGGTTTAGCAAAACTTTGTTTTATTCATTTTCTGTATCTAAGAGGGTTTGTTACTGAAAACTGAACAACAGTAAAATGAAAATACTGAGATCAGCAGAATAGCATAGGGTTGATGACTAACCTTTGGGAGCTGATTCATTGAATAAAGAAAGGGACAGATGTTACTTTTTAAGCTTTTATTTCTTTATTTTTCCCACTTGGATCTTAACAGAATGCTTTCACTTAAAACCTACATCTTAGAAATTTCCTAACAGCATTTTTCAGAGCGGGGGAAGGTCAATTCTGTCATAATTGAAGGTCAGTGAGTATTTATTTGGGGTTTTTTTTTAGCCTTTATGAGTCTGAAATAAAATGCATTTTCAAGCATTGGGAGCCAGAAATGGTTGTGGTTGTATTAGCATGCTGTAAATGAACTGATCCCCTCCACAGTGATAGTGTGTTGGTTTCATTTAATACTGACATGAAAGGAGTGCATTTAATTAAGCTTTTAACTTTATACTCTACATTTCAAAGCACCAAACTAACCTGGACTTATTCTTGTAAATATTCAACTGAGTTAAGTGAGCATGGAAAGGGAAACTGAGTCAAGCTGAACTTGAAGGACATACTGGTTAGTACTTGTTTATGAGAGAGACTGTCAGTAGAAGACAAACTATGAACGCTTTCTTACATTCATTAAAATTCAGTTTTTACTGCACGTGTAGTTAGGATATATTCATAGCATAACACTCAAGGTGCCTTGGTATGACAAGTTATCACTTCTTGGCTACTATGTGAGAAGTGACTCTTCTCTAACCTGCTCATAACGCAAATAAGGCGAGTTACAGTAAACCGGTATTTCTCACCTTTTCTGGTGGTTGTACCTCACCTCAAAATGTGGACAGTCTTTCATGCTTGAGCTTCCCACCACTTTTACCTAGTTTTCTGGTCTGTCTGCGTATTCCTGTTGATCCTGCATACTGTTCCTATTCTAAAGCTGCTGCCATGCTGCTGCTTTAATTGCTGTTTCTCACTAACTGCTGGTGCTTTCCACTGAGAGTGAAATAATGCATCCCAGTGGACATGGCTGACTTTTATCAAATGCCCTCAGGGGCCTCGACGTTGTTTTCCCAGGCTACTGTACAAAAACACTTATGCTATTTCTGCAGTGAACTGGCAGAGTCCAGGTATTATTTATTAGCCTGGTCTGTGTGCTTGGCCTTACCTGCAATGAGGTGTCTGCTGCCTTCCCAGTGGCATTAGTCAACAATGAGTCCCCTTGTAAACTGCTGCCTTAAACACCTTTTTGGTGGCAGAACAAGTATGAGTTAATTTGGACAAGCACAATCTAATAAATATTATTATTTTTTTGCCAGTGTGATCTATTTCACACATTGTTGAGCTCTTAATTGACTGTAACCACTTGTTCAGAGTGACAGCGAGCATCTTTTACTAAGTCAAGGGAAGTCTCTTGAATATAAATCCATCTCTCCACAGAGCAGAATAATGCAGAATTTCTGTAGGGTTATGGTATTTTCAGAAATGCTGTGACAGTTTCTGGTTAGTGTCTAAACAGGGCAGTTAGAAGAATTTTTTTAGAATGTTTTGAATATTGAGAGCCTGGGAAAATCGTTTTATGAAAAGAAAGGGAA